TGATTAATCTGAGAAGAGTTAATTCAAACCCCACAACAGCTTATATTTTAAAATTTTAAAATACAAAAAATAAAAACATAATAATATTAGTAGTTTATGATGATTAAAGAAATGAACTAGAGGAATTTTATTTCTTAGTTTGCATTATAAAAGTCTTCGGAATCTTCTCAAAGATCTAAGTAATCACTGCAAACAGCATTTCTGCAATTAACTTCATTATCCTCAGATTAACCTTCAATGAGAAATCCACAATCTAGCTCAAATAATCCTGTATTCTAATAGGCAGTTGAGAAGTTAAAACTGATGGAAAATAGATCGAAGCAATAGTGAGTTAATAATCAGTCTACCATTTAATCTTAGAACTCTTATTAATAAATACTAAGCTAAAAACAATAAGAGCAGCAGCATTCAATTTAAAAGGCTAACATTTACACTCCAAAGAAGTATTCTAATAACTCCAAGAAATCACCTAGCTCAAGTAGAGTTGTTCATAAATCATCTAAGGAAAGAGCTAATAAAAAAGGTTGCGGGAGTAAGTAGCAAATTAAACAAATAATCAAAATTTTATGACCTGATTGAATATCAGAGTTGGTTGATTCTTTAATGCAAGATCTTGAAAAATACGAGTCTCCAAGTAAGATGAATGAATCTAGAAGTCACGAATAACTTATGAGAAAGAGTTTGCAATAAATTAATGAAAGCCAAGATTCATACAGCAACGACATGAAATTATCAAAGTAATCAAATGTAAGATTTAGTATAAATTGTTATAAAATTAATTTAGATTAATAATATGGCATATTAAATGAGTTAGAGATAACTTCTATAACAGTAAAATCTGCTCTAGACCTCTGGCTTTTTAGACCGATCAGCTTAGCAACTTAATTCTAGTTTTCATCCTCCTTAACAACCTGTATAATAACAAAGAGAAAAAACTAAAACAACTTCATCCCAAACAAGAGGTACATAACAGCCCTAGCAAATCCAGCACAAGATGAGCCAGAAGAGACTTGTTGATGAAATTAAGCAATTAAATAAAAAAATGGATATGATTGGAATATTCCCCAACACAAATACTGCCTAAATGAATATGTAATAGATTAATAACTAGTCGAAAGACCTTTAAGATTTACAAAATTTAAGTTTAAGATTGCAAGGCTCATTGCCACTACAGAGCATTGGTAGAAATTCATAGCAGGGTATTTACCAAAATATGTAGATGAGATCCGCTCCTGGAGTTTATAACAATATTGCTAATCAACAAAACAATACAAATGTTAACAATACCTTTTCAGGAATAAACACTTCAGGACTATTAGCCTATAATGAAAAACCTCAAATGATGTCAAGCAATGGCTATTAATAAATCAACTAAGTTAATAATACCTTTATTGGATAAATGCCAAATACAATTGGTTTAAATGTAACCTCTTCAAGTGTTGAATGACCAGCAAGCTAATAATCAAACAATAGGAAAAATTAGAGTTTTCTTACTCCCCAAAGGCAAAATTAGTTAAACGAAATAACCAAAGGAAAGAAAATAATATTGAAGCCTACATAAATCAACAAGAATAATTAGTAATAAATTTCACCGTAAAGCTAATTTTTAATCGCAAATAGTCTGTAATAATATCAATAGAGCCTTGCAGCAAAAGATAAAGTGACTATGGACAAAAAGACTTATGAGGAGCTGATGAATTATCTAGTGAAAGTTGAATGTAAAAGAATTGAAAAAGATAAAAATAATCAACTAAATCATTACTAGAATAAAAATACTTAAGGAACAGCTTAAATCTCTGGTAAGAGACCGAATTCTACTCTGAAAAGATTAGGCTAAAATACATAAGAGAGATTTTCTCATAATCCTAGACAATTCAACTAAAATCGAGAATTAATATTCAACAGAATACCTACTCAAAATTTGAATAACTCTTCTTTCCTATCAGCTGCTCCTAATTCTTTGGGAAGGAATTCTAAACTGAGTAAGACTCCTTAGAAATAGCATTAATTGCTTTAACCTAACAAATTTAAGAATTTAATATAAATACAGCCATAAAAGCTACCTATTAACATGCAAAATCTAGGAAATGTAAATTAAACATTCGTAATAGGAAGCAATACTGAAAAATCTATAGTCTAATCCTCATCACTAAGGCAAATCAAGAGAAATAACTATGTAAATGATATAACCTAGGCATATAACCATTAGACTGAAAACATTTAGAAAGGATTAATTTAGTAGAATAACATACCACAAGTATCACCATTTTTTAACATTAATTAAAGCTAATCTATACCGACCTCTAAAAAGGGAACTTAAAAGAAAATTGTTCTACAGGATAAGATGGTCTAAGAGTACTAAGAAATGACTCAGCCAAAGCTTTAAGAAATGCTTTAGAGCGGGAAGTATAATCCATAAAAAGAGCAGATAATGATCAATCCTTAACAAATATATATGGCAGAGAAGATATAAAGTGCTAGAGGAAATATAAAAGGTACGGGAAAGGATCTTATTAGTGGAGTTAATAAAGTATCAAATCTCTTAATGCATAAAGAAAAAATGATTAAGAATAATATTGGAGTAGTTGATTCTAAATAGCCTTTGTCCCAGAGAGATAATTAGAGTAGCAAGTAGCAATCCTAAAGGTAATAATTACAAATAAATTAGAACTTGACTCAATAGCCTACAATTAAACTTAATAGGATAGAAGAAAACAATTTAATAAAAAGACTAACTTCAGCAAAGAACAAAAAAGAAACCAAGGAGGAAGATTAAGTATTGATAGATTAAAACTATTTCTTAAATCACAGATAATCAAATCCAACTGGGGCTGCTCGACTAAACATTTAGTTGGATTCAGACCTTCTATATGGGTCAAATGTAACCAGTCATAACAACATTCAAGTAATTTTAAAAGATGATCTTACAGCTAATGAAGAATATTTGCTAGAGCATCAGAAGCACACTAATTTCGATACATTCGGTGATTCTGAGAACAATAAAAAAGTCACTGCAGTAAGTGAATTGCATTCACCTGATCATAGAATGGCATCACCTAGAATAAACATCCAAAGCTATAATAATAGCATTAGGTAGTTATCTTAGAAGGATTAAGCTGACATTAATGCCTATCAAAACTAAGGTTACCAAATTCAGGAGTTTCATTACTCAGGCTCATTTGGCGTTCCAATGACTTTGCAAAACTAGAGCTATTAAATAGATGCAAATAATAAACTAATTTAATCAATGATCTAGAATGGGCAGAATAATCTATCATTTAGTATAGTTGGGCAAAATGACATGTCAATTGTATCATAGGAATAGCTTAGGTAAAACAAGCATGCATATATAGACAATAAAGGAGCTATTGTGATACAAGACAATGAGCTTATATATGATGATCCAGATGAGGACGATGAAAACGATGATGAAATTCAGCAAATAATAGATAAGCCTTTTTATTTGCCTGAATACTAGGATGAGGAAGAATTCTTTGAGCAAGAAAAATTTCCAGAATAGGTAAAAACTACTATATCTCCTTCGAGTAAAAGTTAGAATTATCATGAGACAGATCTGCAAAGCATAGATAACTCAACGGTAGAAGCTGTTAAAAAGAAGCTAATAACTGATCCTGATTATAGAAGAGAACTACTATAGAGAGTACTTCCTTAGTTTTCAAAGCTTAACGAATAATTTACTAACAGTTTCCTATACAAACTGAAGTATGCAAATGAAGATAGTTCATAGAACAGCAATTCCTTATAAAAATCTAATCAGTCAACTTATAGGCAAGGGACTATCAATCATTAGTTGATGAGTTTGAATGTAATTCAGTCCCAGAGTTCATTAAACTCTAAAATACCTGGCAATATGAAATTCTCAAATATAGTTAGTAGTGAGGGAGCTGAAGAGTATGATTTAGATGAGCTGTATACCTTTGACTAGAGAAATAATGATACTCTAATGAAATAAGATCATGGCTAGGCTGTTTAAGCGTTACTTAAGAGAATAAATTAGAATTTGAATACAAATAATAGTGGAGGAGAAGGACTGAATACAATGATGAGTTCTTAGAGCAGGAAAATAGATAATCAAGACTTTGATATGGCTCTCATAGATGACAAGGATGAAATAAATACTGTGATTGAGAACGACTGCGACAATGACTATGCAGACATTTATCAGTCAATAGGCGAAGATGATGCTGAAACTGAGGAACTCCGTAGAAAAAGAGAGTTTGAATATCAAAAGCTGCTGCTTAAAAGGGAGATCATGATGGTTGCTGGCACTAGATAAAAATGATAGTAATCTTTAAAATATAGAAATGATTGATGATGATCTCCCAACAATATAAATAATTAATGAAAATTGTGAGATTTACTTTGTCAATGAAAGCTGTCTATTTTCAAATATAAATAGTATGAATATGGTGATCATCACGTTGAAAATTAATTAATTTGACTTTAATTATCCATTCCATTTCATCATTTTATTAGACAGCTGGGGTTTTGGGGTTTTGGGGTTTTGGGG